ATTTTTTCCAATTTTTAAGAAATGTGTCATGTTATTTTGCACTTATAGTGAGCGCTACAGGAATGTGGGTAAGACTATTATTTCCATATTGTTTCCTCCGTGTGTCTGAGGTAAAGGGGGATATTAAGGCAGAAGCCCCAACCAGTCTTCCACCCACCCCAGGTCCCCGATGTGGGGCATGCTCTGAGGGTCTTGGCTCAAGTGGTTTTGATAGTTCACCAGATATGAATCGCTGCCAGTCTCGCCACTCCAAGCACTATGAAGTCTTTGAAGAATCCACCAATTTACATAGTCCATAATAGAGTCTCTGTTTGCCCCGTATTTCGCTGCCAACATATAGCTGAGATGGTTGATTGACCTGTTCTGTCTTCTCTCTTTTCTTGGTTAGGGTTCTGAGTCCAGCACTTCGATTGGGGAAATCTCCAAAGAAACTTTGTCTGAGGTGTTCTCAAACCAAATTCTTGTATGTATTAGCAGGTACAGGGCCTGGCTCAGTCCATGGCCCTGATCAGCTGGTGGTTGCGATTGCTGGGTTGATCCTATTTTCAGTCCCGACTTCTACTGGAAGTCCACTTCCAATGGGTGTTGCAGTCCAGCCTGGTTCTGCCCAGCACATTCTCAGCCCTCACATAAACCAGTGGGAGTTGCAGCCTAGTTGGAGCAACCCACACTAACCCCCACCAGACCCACCCCCTACCCTGGTTAGCCAGTATGTGCAGCAGGAGTCCAGTCTGTCCCATACCCCATTCCACTCCAGCCCCTGTCCTGGTTTTCATGCCCTCCTGTAGAAGTGGTAACCCAAGAGGGAGGAGCCCACTATTTCCCTCCCAGGCCTCTCCTGCTCCCAGATTATGCACTCTCCAGGAAGTTCTGTGGTTTGACTTGACAGAACTAGCCCCCAGTGCCAGCTTCTGCCAGCTGATGCTGTGGCTAAGCCCAAACAACCCTCACCCTCTCTAATTTTGTTTGCACCAGTAGGAATAATCAGCTCAGCCCAGCTTTTTCCTGATCTAGTCCACACGAGGCGTACAGGTGTTGTAGCTCTGCTTAGTCTGGTCTGCCCCCATCCCAGCTTATGCTTTCCAGTGGGAGTAGCTGTCCAGCAAAGGAACCATCCCTTATTTCCCTGCAGACTCTGTCCCCTCCCTTTCTGGTTGTCACGCATGTTGATTGGGCGCTGCGGTCACATCTGGCACAGGCAGCCTCACCTTGGCATTCTGTATTGTGCACTAGTCTTTGTTGCTACCGAACCTGGCTCAACCCACACTCTGTTCTGGTGCCTGGATTTGCCAGTGGATGATGTGAACAGATTCAGCCTGGTCTTCCCCCGACCCCTGCCAAATGTATGCCAGTGGGTAACTTTCCATGGCCTGTTCTGGGCTGTTTCCTATCATGTTTCTTGGACTTACCTGCTGGGTCTGTGTCCTGCCAGAGGAGTTACCCAGGCTCCTCCATCAGAACCTTTCGCAATGCCTGATATTTCACATACCAGTGGGTCCATGAGCCAGCCCTACTCAGTTCACCTCCTGTCCTAGCAGGAACAGTGACTTTTCCTGACTGACCTTCAACCCAATCTGGTTCTTGCTGTTGGATGTTTCAGCCCAGCCATGGTTCGTCCATACCCACATATGGCTCACACATGGCTTAGTAGGGGTTGAGACCTTGTGTTGTCCATTGCATATCTATCCCGGTCCTCCAGGACACCAGAGGGTGTTGGAGTCTGGCCCGGCTCGGTGCATCCAATCCCAGACCACATGTGTGTCAAGGGAGACTACAATCATTTTCCATTCAGAACGCAGCCCACACGCCCCTTGGTGGGTACCTCAACCCCGCTAGGGTTGTCCCCTTAGCTCCCCAACTGGGCCTGTTCCTAGCCATAGATCACGTGCATGCCAGTGGTTGCTCTGACTCAGCTTGGCTCAGTCCCTCACCTGTACCGATCCCTGCCTTAGACACTGTGGCTTAGTGTTCCTGGCTCATGCAGACAAGTAGGTACAAGAGCCTAGCTTGGCATGACCTGTGCTCTGTCCTGGTCTCTAGTTTCACTTGTGGGCTAAGGTTTGCTCAGTCCTGCCAGATCCACCCTGTTCCATTACCAATTGTCATATTACCCAGCTGTTGGAGCTACTTTGCCCAGCTTGTCCGACCCCCAGGTCTGGACCACATGTTCACCAGCGGGAGGTATGATTCGCCAAGGGAGTTTCCCAAGTTCCTGCACTTAATCCATCCCCAGACCCAGTTCTCATACATGCCATTGGGTTTAGGCCAGGTTCCGGCGAAGTCTGGCCTTCCATTTGGCCTTTTATGAACTGGTGAACGTTGCAGTCCGGCTTACCCCACACCCTATTCAGGATGCACATTTGAGTGCTGCTGTCCTGACCAGTCCAGACTATTGGGGGTTCCTTTACCCGTGAGTGATGGTAGGTTCCTTGGTCACACCTAGCTTAGTCCATCACCACCCTATCTCTTGAGCTAACCAGTGGGGCTAGAATTTCCACAGGGTTTGGCTCACACAGCCTTCACAGAATCTGCCCCCTGTTATGGTTCTAGTGCTAGTTAATGTAATGGCCCTGCTTAATGTGACCCTTCTGCTGATCCATCATGTCAGGTAACAGGATATGATTCTGCTGGACAAGCCCTGAGCCATAGCTTTTGCATGGACTGGTATTTGGTGGTCAGCTTTGTTCAGTGATTACAAGTTTTTCAAAGGAAGAGTTACTGTCATTGGGGATCTTTACAAATGCTTCACGTCCTAGAAGCACAGTGGGTTCAACCTGGATCTGCCTAAGCAGCAATTCAAAGAACCAAAACCCTAGAGCTTCCCAGTGGGGCGGCAAGAAGGCAGAGCCTGGCACCAAATGGCACACTGGCCGCCCGGGGACAGTTCACAACGTGCACATGGTGGTTGTCCTCTGGGATCCAGGCATGAGACGCTGCATCCTGAGAACCACCAGCAGCCAGGAGGCTGCTGGAATTTTAAACTCCCAGGCCCAAGGTGATGCCCCTCCCCAATCCCATTCACCACCCAATGAGGTCGGTGGCTGGGTCCCGGACCTGCCCAGTCACGGAGACCTCCCCCCTTGGTGTACTCACCCCGAAGGGAGCAGCCCCCGGGCCCAGGCAGGCCCGGGGACAGCTCACCACGTGCACATGGTGGCTGTCGTCTGGGATCCATGCATGAGACACCCTGTCCTGAGACCCACCCTCAAATAATATATAAATTTTGCTAATTATATATAAGAATATGAGCAGAACTTGAGTTTTAAAGCAATAAGCACGATACTGATTATTTGTCAAACACTTAAGACTTCTATGACAAGAGAGTTTTGAAACAATTATATCCAAGTTATTTTTATTTTGCTTCTTGGTGGAATCATTAATATTTAGATGATTTATCAATACTGTGGCATAATACTTGGTACCATTCCTCTGTATGATTTATATGAACAATAATTTGCATTGACACAGCATTATTAATTCCTTTGTAAAGGTTAAGAAAATTTCATTATGATCTACATAAGATAAAAAATATAGAATATTCAGTTAGTGTCCAGCTGTCTTTCCAATAGGTAGATGAATATGTGGATATTTACCTGTATACACAAATTATACTAATAAATTTACTTTATGTATTTATATGTTAATTCGGTATTTTAAATTTTAATTGTAATTTTATGTACAACCAAGACAAATGAAGTAAGAATCACAAGTTTATGTAATATCTTGATATCACATTATCAAGAAGTTAAAAATCTCCATTTTTATTGAGGTTGGGATTTTAGCTCTCTCACCAACGGTTTGAATTTAATTATTTTCAAAGGGATCTGTTGATGATTTTCCTCAATGAAAACAATTCATAATGGCCAACACTTAGCACTGAAATTCTTCCACAGAAAGTTACGGATTATATTGTTCTTGGTTGACTGTTAGTTTTGTAGATGGGCGGAGGTTAATGAAAAGATATTTTTTTTTCACCAAAATCCTTTTCAAGGCACTTTTCACCTCTTTATTCCTTAAACTATAAATCAGAGGATTCAGCATAGGTATGATCAGCGTGTAGAACACAGCCACGACCTTGCTTTGCTCTGATGAGGAGATGGCCCCCGGCTGGGCGTACATGAAGAACACAGTTCCATAGAATAAACTCACCACGGTGATGTGGGAGCCACAGGTGGAGAAGGTCTTCCTCCTGCCGTGGGCTGAGGGGATCCTGAGGACGGTGGCGAGGATGTAGGCGTAGGAAACCAGAATGACGGTTGTGGTGCTGATGATCATGAGCGCAGAGAGGATAAAGAGCACAAGCTCATTCACGAAGGGGTCAACACAAGAGATCTTGATGAGGGCTGGGACATCACAGAAAAAGTGGTCCAATCTGTTTTCTCCACAGAAACGCAGGCTGAAGGTGAAGCCTGTTTGTATCATGGAGTTGATGCCCCCACAGATATAGGAACCAACCACCAAACGGACGCAAGCAGGCTGAGACATGCGCACGGTATACAAGAACGGAAAACAAATGGCTGAGAAGCGATCATATGCCATCACGGCCAGAAGAAATCCTTCCGTCCCCACAAAGAGAGCAAAGAAGAAGAACTGTGTCGCACAGCCATTGTAAGAGATTTTCTTGTCTTGGGACAAGAACAGAGCCAGCGTTTTGGGAGCGATGACAGTGGAGTAGCAGAGATCTACACAGGATAAATTTCTGAGGAAGAAATACATGGGCGTGTGGAGTCTGGAGTCTGTCCGAATGATCAGTACCATGCTGATATTCCCCATCACAATGACTGTGTAGATGAGCAAGAACAGCGAGAATAAGAGGATCTGTACTTCAGGAGATGTCCGGAATCCCAGCAGAATAAACTCGGTCACCTTGGAATAAGTCCCGTTCAGGCCACTCTTCATGGCTGACACCTAGCCGGGAAAATGAGATTGTTATCACCATACATAAAGAAATCTTAAGTCAACATTTTAAGTCAATTTCCCAATTGGGAACTAAAAGAAAAATGTCCATATAAATTCAGATTTTTTTGTGCCAAGCTGTTAACCGCAACAGCTTTAAGTGCAGAAGCATGCAACACACAACCAAATGGAGTGGTCTAGGTTTTTCTATTAGATTTATTCTCAAAAAATATAGGACAGATGTGGATGGGCAAAGGATGTTGGAAGCAGTGATGTTATGTATCAGTTTAAACTATTGCTTGAGAGCTTTATGTTAGATGAGCTGACTCCTAATTTTACCTCAGTCTGAAAGAATCTAAACAACCAGTTACAACGATGTCTCAGAAAACCTCCTCTACCTAATGACATTTACCAAAAAAGCTACGTGGCAGGATTGTTGAAAGTGTACATGAAGTTGAATCTGTGGAAAGTAATGTTTTCAATGACCCAAACATCTTAAAAACCTATTCATTGCATCAACAAAGAAACCAGAAGATGCATGAAGGGTTTATTAACAATTGAAGAGTAGAACAGTCTTAAGCAGGTGAGTAGAGAAATCCCCAATAATTTAGTACATGAGGAATGCCTGAACTCTGCATCCTACCTTGTGAGGTCTAAGAAAAGCCAAATCGGGAGCCTGACCAGTAAGGTACAGGCTGGGCAATTATAGGCCAGCTGACTTTATAGAAGATAGTAGGAAACCTGGGTTATGCCTTCATTGGGTAAAATGAAGCACTAGGCATCCATCCACTGTTCAAACAGATACACCTCCCCATCAGCCATGTACCTAAGCATATAAGTGCATAACCTCCACTTCCTATTTCATTTGTCACTTGTCTTTGAATGCTAGTAACTCCCTTCTGGGCAAAGTTCTCACACAAATGGATCGATTTGTTTATATAGATGCACTTTGCTTGCAGCATAAGATTAGCTTAACAGCAGATGGTGTTATGGCATAATGGGTTAAGCCACTGCTTAAGAAACCAGAATCTGATATAAGCATAGATTTTAGTCTTAGTTGCTCTGTTTACAATCTGTTTACAGTCTGCTTAGATGCTCTGATAATTTGCCGGCAACACAGTAGATGACAGCCCAAGTACAAGGACCACTGCTGCTCTTACAAGACAACTGGGTGAAATTCCAGGCTCCTGACTACAGCTGGTCCAACCCCAGCAACTGCAGCCATTTGAGTGAAAATGAAAGAGACTTCTCTCTGTCTCTCTCCTCCTACCCCTCTTCTTATAACTCTGTGCTTCAAATAAATAAATACTCATTGTGAAAAAAGAATAACCTTGCCAACATCAAGTTTTTCATGTATGTACTGTTAGTAAAGCTTGACATTAATACAAATCAATAGGACCAAAACAAACTGCATTACAGAGATTCTGCTTTTTGCTTTAATTATCACTAGTTAATATAAAGTATTAAGTAGACACATGGACAAAAACTAATAATTGTTAAGGCATCTGAAAAGGCCAAATCCCAATGGAATAAAGGAATTTCATGCTATAATTTTGAGGTTCGTTATTTCTGGACTAAGAGTCTTCCCTTAAAGGAATTTTATATTATAGTTTAAGCTACATATTTTTATTTAGAAACTCTGACAATAGTATCAGAAATGGAATTGATTAACTTCTGTTCCTACTTTTTTTTTTGTGAAGTCAAAACATCTCACTGATTAAAAGCAGGTGTTTTAATGCACATGAATCTGGGTTTTAATCCACACTCTGCTCCTCACTGAGTAATTGGGAAAATTGGGAGTAATCTTGGGAAATGCCATGAGCCTCTCTCTTTGTATCAGCCAAATATGGCTTAGAAAATCTCCTCAATGTGATTCTTTCAAGGAATCATTTAATGATATATATCACTCAAATGAAATGTGTAGTGCATGCAAAAGAGAAAATTGACATATGGTAGAATGAGTAAAGATTTTTTTTGCTACATTAAGAAAAGTTTCTCAATCAAAAATATGATTTTTAAAAACTTTACTTGATTGGGGTCAACACGGTGGCACATTTCTGCCTGTGATATAGACATCCTCTATGGGTATCAGTTCTAATCCTGGTTGTTCCACTTCCAATTTAGCTCTCTGATAATGGCCTGGGAAAGCAGTCAAAGAATTCTAAAGTTCTCAGGCCCCTGCACCCATGTGGGAGATCTGGAAGAATCTCCTGGCTTCCAGCTTTTGTGGAGCCAACTCCGGCTTATGACAGCCATTTAGCAAGTGAACCAATGTGTGGAAAATAGCTGTCTCTTCTAGCCTCTCTTTCTGTAGTTCTTTCAAGTAAAAATAAATCTTAAGAAAAAAAACTCACTTAATTGAGACCCAGATTATTCCAAAAGAAACTTCAATAAAGATTTTTAAAAGTTTATGATATTTTCAAAGGAAGCCTTGAACAAAGTGTAATTGATTATGAAAATGCTTTACAGTACATTTAGGTACTTGTAAGTTATATTCTAGATTTTGAAATGCACTCACCAAGCAGCTCTTTTTCAAGTCCCCTATGGCTCTTCCTTATTAGAACTGAACAAGAATCAGATTGAAACTTTAGTGTGAACTTTAAGACAATTCTGCTCTTTGTGTCCTGCAAAGACAAAATTGAGATGTCTTTCTACACATTATCTGCCTTACATTTTTTGTCTCTAGAGTCATAGCTAGTCTTAAAACCAGGAAAGTGAATCTGAAAAACGTATATAGACAGATGTGAAAAATAAAAAGGACCCTGGGGTTTAATTAGGTCAAGATTTTCCAAACTTCCCTATACCTCAGAACCACCTAGGGAGGTTTTGTTTTGTTTTCAATAAATACTGATTCTGGGTCACACTTTATTCCTGACCTGAATATTGAAGAATGCTTATTAGTGAGATAAACATGGGAAACTAGTTTTGCTCTTAAGATTCTCAACTGATAAATAAAGCCAAGCCCTGCATCAGAGTTTGAAGATCAAGAAATTAGATTCTACTGCTTCCAAGCAGAGCAACAATTTTCTCCTACTTTGCTCAAAGTTGTTCATAATAATCTTTTGAAAGAGTATTCCTCACTCTTCATTGAATTACTTTACAAATATCACTTTCCAATTTGTCTTTATTCAACCCAGATTTGTACTATACTTAAGTCCTTTGATTCTTTAATGTCAATGGATATGACAAGTTGGTTGTGCTTCAACAATGATAATTTCTGGATGCTGTTGATATCAACAAGCCTCATGGCCTCCCGTTCCCAGGCCTCCTTTTGTGCGTTTATATATCCACTCTACATATTGAGTTCATCTTAGTTTCTCAAAAAAACTAATAAAAAATAAATTGTTTAGGAGTGTATGATATATTTTATAGAGAACAAGTCTAGAAAAAAATGGAAATTCTGAGATTCTTTATGAGGCCCATATAATTGTAAATAGAATGTTGTGCATTGATCCAATAGATAAGTTTGATGATCATATCAAATTTTTAATACAATTCATGATCCAAAATGATCTCAATAAATCCTTAATTTAAAAATGACAGATGGGGCCCGGCGCGGTGGCGCAAGTGGTTAAAGGTCCTCGCCTTGCACGCCTGGGATTCCATATGGGCGCCGGTTCTAATCCCAGCAGCCCCGCTTCCCTTCCAGCTCCCTGCCTGTGGCCTGGGAAAGCAGTGGAGGACGGCCCAAAGCTTTGGGACCCTGCACCCGCGTGGGAGACCTGGAAGAGGCTCCTGGCTTCGGACCGGCATAGTATCGGCCCGTTGCGCGCACTTGGGGAGTGGATCATCGGACGGAAGATCTTCCTCTCTGTCTCTCCTCTCTGTATATCCGCCTTTCTAATGAAAAAATAATAAAAATAAATCTTTATAAAAAAAAA